TCATCCAGTTATACAGTGGTTTTGGAAGGTATTGGATTCATTCTATTCACAAGTTGTTAGCTATTTTGCTGTCTTTTTGACTACCTAACCCCCATAGTATCTATCTGCCAAGTCCACTGGCCTTGCTTGAAAAGATCAAAGTCTGTTTTTGTTTACTTTGATAAAAGTTCTAGGCTGCCCTGGTCAACACTTGTCATGACCAGTACTCTTCAGACACAGTATGCTCATGAGTAAACCATGATAAACAGCTGGTTTACTACATAAATCATTTTAGTAAATTGAATCATTTAAATATATTCTGTATTTAAATCAGGTTGTGCTGTTAATGGATGCTGAAAAAAGGATCCGACTTCTTCAATTTGTCACTGGAACGTCACGGGTGCCAATGAATGGCTTTGCTGAACTATATGGTATGCATAAATGTTCAGTGTTACCTAAAATGTATTCAGTGAAAAATCTGTCAACCCCCTTAGAGACAAAGGCTGACAAGTTCCAACAGTTATTATTCCATTTTTGCTCACAGGTTCTAATGGCCCGCAGCTGTTCACCATTGAGCAATGGGGGACACCAGACAAGCTGCCAAGAGCTCATACATGGTATGCAACCAGGCATTAATAAAACAACGATTTAGGAGCATAAGACTAAGCATAATGTCTTCTTCTAGTTTCAACCGCTTGGATCTCCCAGCCTACGATTCCTTTGAAGACCTGAGGGAAAAACTTCTCATGGCTGTGGAGAATGCGCAGGGCTTTGAGGGCGTTGACTAAAGTGTCTGTGGCGACACACTGCACAACAAGCAATCCAAACCAGACACAGGCCACAGGGAAGTCCAAGCAGCTGTTGGTCGTAGCAGTTCTCTCTGAGCATGTTGTACTGTAATCTTAACTGCAACATGACACACGGCAGCCACTTTTTGGAAAAGTTATGTCTTCATCTTTCAATCTTTTTAATGTGAGTTCACTACTTGGGGGTGCTGTGGAGGAATAGTGAGCCAAATGCTGCGCCTTTCTAATGAACCGGCGTGAACAGTGACTGACTAGCTGGCCCCTGTACAGTCTAATTTACTATTCTCTTTGTCCTGTGAAAATCTACAGTGCTGGAATAACACTAATGCATTTCAAGAGCTCCTTTGTGTATGTTATAGCACAGTATTTGAGCACCCTTCAGTGAATGGGTCCAAGCATGGCCTTAATCTGGCTCATTCATGCACTATTTCTCTATAAAACCTGCAAAGGCACTATGATCACACAATTCTCAGATCCTTTGACCAACACCAGATTACCTTAGGAATGCTAGCCAATCAAAAATCAGGAAATGGGCATACTTCACAGTAAAGCCTTGTCTAAGTTTTGTGGTCATTTATTGCTGCTGCAGCCTTTTATAAAATAATTTACTCATTTTTTTTTTAGCTATATGGAAGGGTTTGAGAATGGGGGATGCAAAAGTCCCAAAAGATGAATTTTATAGTTTTTGTGAGTTTTCATGGAAAAAGGAGATTTTTTTAAATCATTAGTTATGAATATGATTCTTATAGGAATTTCCTCTCAAACCTATTTGTACTGATGAACAATAATGTTTACTATTTTGACAGTTCAATATAATCATGTGATGTGTAAGGCTAGTCTGGGGAATAATGAGTTCATATCATTTGTTAAAGTGATAGCAAATATGTTGCATAAAATGGTTTATATTGTATTTCTACGGAAACAGCATGAAACTGTATCCTGTGTTTGCTTTAAATGCATAGTTAATGAACGTGCAATCAGTCTTGATGGAGGGCCAACTAAAAAGTTGGTTAGTTGCATTGTTATAACAATATTCTTCTGCCTGTTTCTGTTCATAATGCTGTAAATTGTTATTGGAAAAAATTAAGTCCTTTCATGATATATAAATATGTGTATAACATTAAATAGAAGTATTACTGATTAATGACACTAAATGAAGCTGTGCGTGCAGGTGATTGAAAGAGAAGCTGTGATTGTCACTAAATTTAAATTGCATGTTAAGATTTATGTTTTCTTTTATAACACCTATGAACCAAAAGGGCACTTTATTGATCACTCCAAGGTTATGTGAGTATTGTACATCTTATATCATTAACATGAATGTGATTCTTTCTTTCCAGTTGGAGCACTTACTTGGTGCAATATACAATAGTCTAAGTCTTAGCTGCTACTAACAATAAAACAGATTGACAGAAGTGATTTGGAAGCAACTATTTCTTTTGTACTTTCCTGCTTAAAAATCCCGGCCTTCTGTAAAAAACAAAAAAAGTTAAAGGTTCTGTTTTTATAGAGAAGTTTCTTTTTTATTCATTGGTCTAAAATATCACTTTACTTCTCCTGTTCATCAACTCTGTGGTTCTTGTCATTTTTGTCAAATAAAAACGAAACTTCTCAGTCTGTTATCTTGTTTCCGTTTGTAAACCAGTGGTTCTCAAATTGTGGCATATGTATGCAAGCTTTTTGGTAAGCGAAATTGGCGATGTGTCCCTAATTCAGATCTGATTTACCCCTAATTTAGATTTGTTAGTCCTAGTATAGGTCTGGTTTAAATCTGGTGGCACTCAGAAGGCTTAATAGCTTATTTGGTGGTAAGACACATTATTTAAGATGTTAAATGATTTTAAGTATTTATTTTAAAATTGTATACACATTTTCTCACAGCAGTGGCTGAAGGGGCTGCCCTGCAAATCAATGACATTTCATATATCCAGTTTGTGTTTGAGCACGTGCTGTGGTCAAGAGACCTCCGTTCATTCACTCAGACAATCAGGGAGTTATCAGCTTCAAGGACAAGTAAATAAAAGCCACCCAGCCACTGTGGGACATTCATCAAAACCTCTTACCCCAAAGAGATCACAGAGCGGGAGCCAACCGCATTTAAGATTCACTTTAACTCCCAGGTCATAAAAAAAAAAAAATCTGAATTAAGTACCTGTTGCTTCTGTTGATTTGTAATGAGGATTTATGGTAAACTTAAAACGGCACTTGCAATGAAATATCGATATATTAACAAAAACATAAAATAAGACAACAACTAATTTAGACATACAATAGCATGTATACTACTACCATATAGATTAAAAATCTATAAGTATTTAGAAATGTTGACTATCATAACAGTATGTCCTTGAACATTTGATCTTTTAGTTATAAAATAGATGTGAGCCTTGTCACCAGAGTTGGGCAGCTTTTGTTCTTGTCTCCTTTTTCCCTCCAGCCGTCAGGGTCGATCGATACTTCCCCTGTAGCTTATCACTGATGTGGTACTAGCTGTTTGTCCAAAGCATACTGTGTCTACATAAAGAGTTGGACAGAACTGTGCTGGACCCCGCATGCACCATGAACCACCCCATGGACCTCCTCTGTGTGGTACACTCTCTTGTGGACTTTAACTGTTTGAATATAAGAAAAAACTGGGGGGAGAAGAGTTGGTCACTATTAGATTGAAGCAGCAGAGAGAAGAGAGCAGTTCTTGGGAGAGATGACGGTGTGGGATGCCAAGGTGAGCTACACTAACTGTAAGTATCCAGGTTGAACATTTGCATTTGATTTAAATCTTTATCATTTTATAGTCTACTTATGCAATTGCTTCTGCATTTATTAAGAAAGGGTCAAAGGTCAGCATATTTTCATATTTGGTACAATTTATTACCTGGAATACAAATATAACAAATAGCTAAATATATTACTTGCTTTTTATATGAAAATCTCAATATCAGGGAGTATTTTCTTTGCAAATGAAAGTATTGTTAAGCCACACACATTCCACACAGTCAAGTAAACACAGGTGCTCTCATCTCACCAAAACTAGACTGTACTTTGACCACCACTGATATTGTTTTGTTTTCTAGGCTTCTTCTCATCATTTTCTCCTGAATATTCCAATCTGCTCCAGAGCTGTGGAGTGTGACAATGGTGTTTGTGTCCTGATCATCAAACGCCATTATCACGCTAAATAGCTACAGTGAGAAAAAAAACATCAGTGAACTTGTTCTTTTCTTGTATGTATGAGAAGACTCCTCGTAGTAAAGCTAAACTATAGAAGCACATGATATGATACATATGATACTATAGCAGCACGACGTGACACAGTTTTATACTAGAGGTGAAACTCACAACAGCCGACATGATGATTCCTGTTATAGCACACATTTGTTTTTGCCTTACAGAGATGTGCTGTTTTTACCACCTGCTATTGTCCTACAGATAGGTCAATAATGTTTTAATGTGACTGCAGAAAAAATTTAATGTCTGTCTTTTATTCCTTTATGGCTTTGTAAGTAACATTGCATTCCATCCTTGACATTAGTTTGAAAGTTATTTGCGAAAGTAATTGTGTATGGCACATGAACTGTGGTGCACATTCACACCTGCACCTTCCACACAACTGTTTGTTGAATGAGTAATTACAGTATAAAATCGAAGAAGAAGTGACGGTAGGCTACGAGTAGTCTTTGTACACAGACTAGTACACACAGGTTAAAATCAAAGTGGTGGTTATACACTACTTCAAAAATAGTTTTAACATCTGCAAAAGAGAGACTAAAAAAAAAACTGTTCACATTTCAGTACTCATTTACAAAAATTATATCCTATTAAATAGACAGTACAATTAAATTAAAGAATAAAGAAAACATACAAATGTGTTGCATTGCAACCAAAAAATAGGGATGCACCATTATACTGTAATTAACGTCATGATGTTTCTAGCATCAGTGGAAAATAAAATTAAAAATGTATGCATCCCTAAAAGCCAAAGCTAAAGTAATGTTATTCAATCAAATATTAAACGCTCATTAATTTAATGAACTATTATTTGAAACATCACGTTACTGTCAAGCCACATGAAAATGCAAAATTTCAAGTGTTTCATCTGTCACAGTTTTGTTTTTCATCATCAGACACACTTTTAAAAAGTCTTTTTCAAATAAAATGTTTAAGAAATTAAAAGTCTGTTAGCTCAGCTGTGGCCTCCACCCACTTATGACTTCCCCTTCAATGAAGGCCCGAACATCTTCTTCTTGGGGGTAGCCCCAGGTGGATCCTTGGACTTGGGAGCTGGTGCAGTCTTTTTTGGCTTTGGTTGCAGAGACTTAAGTCCCAGAATTTCACAGTATGTGTTGCACTGATGCAAGGCTTTGAACTGGTCAATAAAAGATGTGGCACAATTTCCTTTGAAGCCTTTGTACCTGTTTAAGCAAACCCATGTTAGAAATGTAATTTAATAGACAGACATCATTGTATACATACCAGCCATATAAACTAATGCTTACCCTTTCTTACCAGTGGCAATTCCAACATCAGTGAGCTTCATACCAACACCTATAAATATAAAACACGTTGCATTATTACTACTTCAGTAGTTAAGGATATGGCAGGAATTGTTATGTGTACCTTGCATATCAGTGACAAGAAGGTTGCCATCAGTGTGGTGGTAAACCCAGTGTTGGAATGCACAGCATTTCTGTCCCGCCTCAGAGTCCTTCCTCATTAGGTTTATTTCTTTGCCATCCTTTACTGAATACTTCACAAAATCTCCAAACAGCTCCTCTTCAAGAGTGGCATAAGGTATGTCATTGGATGGCCGGTGGACCAGGTAAATGGGAATTATCCTTTATAAACCACAGCAAACAATTATTATATTTATATATATTATATTTTGTCCTACAATGAAAAGCAAACTGTTTAGATCACAGTTTCTTACTCTGGGACTGGTCCAAAAGCCTCAAAGGACTGAGCCACATCAGTGTATGCTTTGATGTACTCCCTGGCAGTGTTCTGCACCTGACACTCCTGACAGAAAGAATCAAAATCATCAACCGGTATTGAACTGATATGCTCTTTAATGCATTTCTTTATTTCTTAATTTTTTTCTTTACACAGAAAAAAAATGTGTGGTCACGTGGTTGGCTAAGGCTACAGACTAGAGATGAAACCATAAGTTTATGGACGGAACCCATGAGATGAGACCAAAAGTTGCACTGAAGCAATCATTTTGCATTATAACCTATTTTACGTCACCGATATTTTAATAGCTCTTTACTGGGCAATATAATTATGTCTTTGATAAGCCTAAAATTGTAATTTGTAAGATACCATTTTAATCATGCTTTTTTATTTAGTTTTACAAATGTTCATGGGTAAAGTGCTGTCGTGCTATTTCGTGTACATTTTAATTCACATATTATATAGTATAACTTATATTATGCTATAACATAATACATGTAGCCTAACAATGGCCCTACCTCCACGGCAAGATTGAAGTTTTTCTGCACAAGTTCGTCGTTGTTGTTGGTTCCGTAGCTAATGGCGTTGTGCACTTTAAGCACACAGGCGTGTCCTGGCACCAGCAGTGGGACCTGTCCTGCCTGCAGCGTGGTCCTGAAGGCCCGTCGGTGCATGCCCTCTCCGAAGTGGATCTTCTCAGTGACAATGCTCGCAGAATGACTCTCCCCAAAGTATTGTTCAGACAGAAAGTCCTCTTTGAACATCAGTCTGGAGCAGTGAATGCTCTCCTCCTCATGGCCCACCTCAACAGGAACAGCTGGAGAAGGCACATCACTTAGTGGGATTGGTAAATTTACAGTATGTTTTAAATTTGTGTTTAGACTTACCAGGAGTGGTTTTAGAAATTGTTGGGACGACAATCTCACTGAGCACTGTATAGGAAGCTCTCATTATTATTTTAAATAATATATAATTATGACGTTAAGTATATGTGCCGCTTACATTCATAGGTTAGCAAGAAGTCCAGGGTGACTTTTCCATGTACATTTTTCAGTTCACACTGGTACTTGCCCAAGTCTTTGTGGGAAGCATTGGAGATGGTCAGCGATATTCTACTCTCATCCCCTGCACTTCAAGAACAGGTAAATGTGTCAAAAGGAGTTACTTTGAGCTTTCTAATGAATGATCTTGTATTATAACCTATATAAGAAATACCCCACCCTACTTAAAAATATCATTCAAGAGCTACAGCAAAGTTCATAAAATTAGTGATGATACTACTAAAAAAATTGATCTAATTCTTAAGTAAATCTAAGTTAGTAAATGGGACATTTTACTATATCTTCATTAGCCCACCACTCATAAAAGTATCTGCTGTCCAAGTGATTTGTAGTTTTGAGTGTGAGGTAAGAATAAATTGTATAAAAAGGTAAACATAAAATACCTCCTCTTAATTTCAGTCAGAACATCGCTGTCTTTCCTCCATGTGACTGTGTAGTCAGTGAGAACATCTGAAAACTGACACCACAGACAAAGGCTCTGGGGGTCTCCACTCACAGACACTGCCTGGATAGGTTGCACAACCTTAAGATCTGCAAATGAAAGTATTTGTATCACTGGCCCTCAAAAATCCTACTAACTGGTAAAAACAATAAAAAAAACATTTACCTTGCTTTGGTTTAACACTTTTCTGCTTCACTACTTCGCTGTATGCTTTCCTGCGAGTTGCCCCAGCATCAGCCTTGTCTTCCACTGTTTTTGATGTGTCTCCTTTAGTTAATTTAGATTCCAGAGAACTGACCAATTTTCCAAACTTATCCTGTGACAGGCGGCGTTTTTTAATCAAGTCATCATCGTTGGTTGGTGCACTTGTATTTTGGGACAATTTGTCTGGACAGTTTTGTGGTGTTTTAGTCTCTGCTTTCTCTGTCTTTTTCTGTATAGCCCCTGATTGGTCACTGTCCTTTGTAACTTGTTTCTCTTTAAGTATATCAGTTATGGCTTTGTCAGCTTTTGCCTCATTCTCTACTTCAGTCAGCGATTCACTTGTACATTTCCCTAGGTGTTTCTTTTTCTTTTTACTATGGCGTCTGCCGATCTCTTTCTGTGGGACTGCTCCCACCTCTATAACATTTTCTCCATCCTTATGTTCCACTCTGGTCTCTTGTTCTCCTGTGAAATTTTCTTTGAATGTACAAAGTGGTTGTTCAGCTCCATCATTACAGTGTAGGTTCTCCTGCTTCCTTAAGGATTGGACGCCATGGGAATGACCAACATGTCTGTCCTTTTTGGATCGTGTTTTGCCCTCCAAGGAGGACTTGTGAGTTCTGTGTGGCATTCTTGCAACAGAGGTTTTTGAAGCCAAAGGAACAAAAGGGTCATACAAGTCCAAAGTTAAGCATGCTACCCGTTTTTCCAGACAGACTGTGAAATGATCATTTGATATTACTGCCAAGTTTAAAAGGTCTTTACTTTCTTCAAAAATAGTTTTAGGTTTATGGAAAGAACACTGTGTAACTTCATCAGATATTAGGTCTTTTGAAGAATCTGTTTCAGTTTGCTGTGAGCAAGTGATGTCCTCAGTACTTTCTGAAGAGAAGTCAGTAATACCATCTGAATTTGGCTGGCAATCAAAAGCTTCATTGGGATCATAAACACTGTCTCTTTTGAGAGCCCATCTAGTCGCCTCTTCGTCTCCATTTAAACTGCTGCTTGCTGCCTGAGTGACAAGGGAGGAGCCAATACTCACAGGAGCTGAGGGCATAATAAACTTAGGACTCCCCCACAGTGGCTCCACCTGACATGCTCCATCAAGGTCTGCTAAAGTCACATGCACATTCAGCCCAGGGTTACTGTCCTCTTCGGGCACGTGCACGTTTGTTGGAGTGAGTGTACTGAGAAAATTAAAAGCTAGTGCATCGTTCCCTTGATGTGCGACCTTGAGTGTCTTCGATGAGGCACAACTTCTTTCAATATCCCGCTCAGACGCCAAGTCCAATGAAGAGAAACTGGGTTCATCTTTTACCTCACACTTGTTGTCTCTATGGGGCTAGAATAAAAATATATACTTAAAAACAAAAAACATAAAAATCATCACTGTATATTTCTGAAAGGACATTCATGCTATTGATCTCAAAAACATTTTGTTATTAAACACATACCTTTGTGTAAAACCCCAAAGTAAAACCTCCATGCTTCTATTAATCCATATCATGTATCCAACATGCAAAAAGGATTTTCTCTGTCTCTGTAGTTCTTCACTATATCTATTGCAGTCAATCTAATGAAACAAAAGTGTGTGGGCCAGTGGACCTCTTGCGTTTTTAAAGAGGGTGCAATGGGTGTGTTAAAGGGTGCACTGGAAAAGAGAGAGAGCACTGTAGAGGGTCACGTTACAACCATCAGCTGTGCTGTCCTCTCACCCCTCCACCCTGACACGCCACTGATGCATGCTATTATCATTGAACTCTTGGCTATTATTAGATGCCATTTCTGTCCATCTGAAGTTTTCACTTAAGCACTCCTGTTTCCCCTTTCACACACACACACACACACACCTGTCGGTTTGGTAGAGAGGAGCCAAATCACATCTCAAATAATAACACAATCAGACTCAGATGAAGAATAAATGGCCCTCATCCAATGTAATGTGACTGTTGCTTAAGGTCAGATGAGCAGAGACATTTGGAATTGCGCACTGTGTCTCATGACTGGCTATCAATACAACGGCAGGTATGACAACACTGACAAGGACAGGAGTAAAAAAAAAAGTCCTTGATGTTCTTTCCGTAGTGCCAGCTGTGTGGGAATGTAGTCATTCCTTTATCTCATGGGACAAATACATATTAAATTAATTAAGGAGAGTGTCAAAATCACTAAATGCACATGCACATATTCCAAACAAACATGCATACTTGAAGGCACACAGTCTTAAATCATCCTTACCTCACAATAGAAAAGACCTTTGGATGCTCTCTCATATTCCACATCTGTGTCCTCTACAATGTTCAGAACCACGTCACTGCTTACATTTGTGTCAGATGAATCCGATCTTCTGTGCAGCTGACCTGTAACTGCTTCAAATGTTGGCCCTGGTCCCACAGAAAGTGCAGTTTTATCGTCACTGTATGTGGTGACCTCACATGAACTCTTGGATGGTTGTTTGGGCTTAAGCTGACATCTGATGAGCTCCACCTTTGTTGTACACTTTGGCTCAATACCTTCTTTCTCTTGAATCTCACCTCCAAGACAACAGCTCAGGCAGCTCTGTTCCAAGAAGGCTGAACTTTCTGTATTGCTGTGTGAGTCTAAAGGCTTGTCTTGGACTCCCATAATGGACTGATCGAGAATATCTTCTGATGTTTTACTTTGTTGTCCTATTTCAATCTGAGTGGTTACCTCAGCAAGTGCCTGTGTCAGAGCATCTATCTCTGCTCCTATCTCTGTGAAGGCAGCAGTGAGGTCTTCCGGTGGAGATGAGATAATGTCTGCCCAGTCAGAAAGAGCGCTAGCCCAGCTATCTACTGACGACCACCTCTCAACTGGGGCCCCCCAACTTTTGTTGTCATCAAAGGACCAGCCAATCATGTCACAACCACTTGGACTGTAACCTGATCTTTGTGTCTCTTCTGAAGGGACAGAAAAATCACTTGTCGTGTTGGACATTGATTCTTGCATCACAGATGATACACTCAAATATCCACTCTGTAAATTTTCACCTGCAAAATACTGGCAAGCATCAAGCCACATTTCTATAGGACTATCATTTCTCATCGTCATACCAATAACCTCAGTGTTCTCGTGTGGCACATTAGAAGCGCCCACAGCAGGTGTTTCTACGCTCATACTGTCCCGCTCCTCTGACTCATACTGGACTATTATCTGATCATATTTGGTCACCACAGATGAATCACCCACTTCTGAAAGTGTTGTAAACTGTATTTCTGCCGCTGTTGTATGTGACAATGACACACACTCTGAACATTTAACATCTCTGGGACCAGGATGAGAGCACGGGGGAAAATCTTTTGATTCATTTTCAAATATGTAGAGATCTGAAAGAGGTGCAGTTATTAATTCACCCTCTGAACCATCTGAATGATGTGATAAGGACCTTAGTAGACCTCCAGCATCACAGTCATCTGACTTAAAACTGGCACTAAACATAAAGTCATTGACACTCAGACTAGATAAAATCCCTGCTTTAGACGGCACAGTGGCAGGTGCATTGGTCATAGATTTGGATAGAGCAGCTGCCACAGGGTCACTGCTTTGGCAAGTATTTGTTCCATCCGGAGGGACTGCAGGTTGTGTGAAATCACAACAAGCCCACTCTAGTACATCTTTGTCATCTGTGGTACTTTGGGAGCAAAGTATGAAGTTCTCAGACATATTCAAAGGCTTGTTCAAATGGGCTCTGTGAGTATTTTGTTGTAGAGTTTCAGCATCTAGCAGTGTAGTGTTTTCTTTAGTACCAAATGCATGTGACGTATCTCCAGGCAGTATCTCAGACACAGTGCTTCCTGGTGGACATTGTAACTCAGAATCAGGGTTGACATCTTGGTCTTCAATGTCCGTGGCTATGGACAGAGGCTCAGGCTTTGTTTGGTCATCTTTGCAGAATATGAGCTCCATTTCAGCATAAGCGTCTTGAAAAAATTGCAGTAAATCTCCAGTTGAACCAAAGTTTAGTACACAGTGCCTAAAATGTTAACAAAAAACACTTAATGCAGTCAAAATTGTAATATACAGTGTATCACATGTATTAAACATGCAGTGATACAAGAGTTATTGTTGAAAAATTACTGTTTCTGCTTCTGTCACAGTTGATTAGTTTAGTATTGTGATTTGTAAACATTATTTTTTAACATTTTAATTTCTGTACCTTTAACATATTTAAAGAAATGGTGACACCAAATACTTAGTTTCTTTTTTCAAAATCTGTAAAAAATTGAAAATGTATAAAGAAGGGGACTAAGTGAGTGTGACGTCATCCATAGCATTTGGCTCCAGTCAAATGAAGCTTGCGATGCTAAATGTTACAGGAGCGAATGTGGAGCCAGTCTCTAAGAATAGTATTTTTTGACAGATAAAATAGCGAGAGAAAAAAGAACAGGATCAAGTAGAGTGGGTTAATACAAACATTTTAAGACCAAAATGACGAGGCTCACAGCAGCAGTCACAGAGAGAGGGATGACAATATTCCAATGTAAGTCAATGGGAGCCAGGATCAAAAGCAGCCGGACGAGCCCACATGTGAACTTCCTATTTGGAACATATACAGTCTATGCTTGAAACCCACATATTTTTATCTAAATTACATGGATCATAGAAGATAAATTTGTCATTGATGTGAAGGTCTGCCCTATGATACACAAACAGAGGAGTTGTGGCACAGACACTGGAAAAATACCAGTACATCTTCACCCATGACCTGCATTGGTCACATTCCCCATGCACTGAAGGGCGCTTGACTCTTCAGCCCCCAGTGTTTACTACACGATTTATACAATTCTGCCATGCACACTACACTACAAGCATTTGACCTGCAAAACAACATAAACATCTTAAATGCACTTGAATTACAGCATGAAATATATGCACTCGTTCAACACATAATCAAGGAAAGATGGACTATATCCGTTATGTTGTGCTTCATTGGTGAATTAGATCTAATCTGTGCTAACACTAAAGCTGTCAGCACAGAAGACCAGAATATGCAGTAGTATCACTGAGCCAAAATAGCTCCATTCTCCGTCACACAACACTGATAAGTCCCCACATCTCTGGGGCTTCTGTCTGTTTACTTAAAAAGCATCGAGACTCACATAAACTTCAGACATCAACAGGCAAAGGTTACATTATTAAACCCATTTCAATAACATATGGTACCAGACAGTAACTGCTGACAGAGTTTTCAACTGTGTCACCCTTGATAAAGTTCAGAACCAATATTTATCACTTCAGTCTTTCCATGCAAGCTCCAAGAACACTATAACACTTAAGTTATTAGAATCATTGAGGATCCCCCAGGGACATTTCCAGCTGTGCATGAGCCATACGTACCTTTTTCATTGCGGTGAAGTGAAGAACCTATGAGACTTGAACATGAGCTAAGACTTAGTGGATACACTCGGGGTGAGGGACTATTTTTAACTGTGGGCCCCCACAAGTACAAAGTCGGTTACCTGATATTGGAGACGTGCCGATCTTCAGCATTTAACACTGGAGATCTATATTCACGTTTCTGACCTACTTTATTTGCAGTATCCCATTTATAACACCTAAGTTGTTTTTTTTGTTGTTTTTTTGCTTGTAATCTTCTTTTGCATCACCTTTAATACATAACTTGTAACTTGTTGTACTGTGAAAGAACTAAACATAGAACTATTCACATCTTAGTCAGAAAAAAATATAATAATTATTTGTCTAATATCTCTGTGTTGTCTTCCTATAAAACTACCAAACTAAAGTATGATTCCCATAAAAAAAAACAACAACAACATATTACTCAATACTTCGACTTGTCTGAATCTATATCAGAACTATGATAACTACCCTTATTATTTATGTATTGTATATGTACATACAACAGATGAATCGATTGTTAATCGATTGTTAAAATAGTTGTAAACAACAATTTCCGTAACTGAATAATCACTAATTGGTTTATACATATGTTTCAAAACATGTCATGAGATGACAGAAGAGGTTTTATGAGTGACTTCACATCAGTTTTATATGGGTACAATTTAGGAAAGGCTCTTCACAAGCTATTCACAAAATAACAAATTAATTGAAATAATATTTGCTAGATCAATTAAAATAATAGTTTGTAGCTTTATATGCATGTATGTTGTTCTATGTTTTTTAGTGTTCAACGGAGTAAAATGCTGTAGAGCACTGAGGCCTTTTCTAGTTTGACATTTATGTAGTATGATACACTGTGTACAATGTACATGTTTTTGCCACATTTGATTTTGCTCAGTGTGCTAAACAAAAATGTGCATTAAGTGGCTTCATATTTAGATTTTTGGGGGTTATGCTGTGTCTTATAACCTAAATATGTTTGTAATACTTGGCCAAGAATGAAATTAGCAAGGATCTTCAGGTAACAAGGAGAGTCCATAATTTTAGTGAAACATTTCTATTTTAGAGAGTTCTTAGATATGTTTTATGACAGCAGTTGCAAAGTTGTGGTCTTTCTTGTGTGATTGTCCCACTGTGTGACTCATAGGCCCATTATAAACACTGCTGTTGTTGCTGCTTCCTTTGTAATAAAAAAACACTAAAGTTATATCCCCCTGCCTCTGGAGGTCAGCACTGCCCCAGGGGTGAACACTGCCCCCAGGGGTCAGCTTTGCTAGGCAGAAGAGTGGTTGTGTTTTTTTGTCTTCGTCTGTCATTGTTATGTAACACTTTATGTCCTTACACCTGTTCCTTTTGGTGCCTTGTAAAATTAGTGAGCAACAAGGTGGGTATTCTGGGACTGTTCACACAAGTTGTTTATGCTTGACTGTGTATGTCTTGGTCTGTTTATGGTTTTAAAAACATTTCTTATGTCTGATTCACTTTTTTGTGAATAAGGTGGCTTGTTAAATGAGTAGAGGTTTAAACTGATTGTAGATAATTGAGCTTAATAACATAACACCTTTTATGCGAGGTGTTTTTAGATCACATGTGTAAAAGAAGGTGGTCAAGTATTTAATCTCACATGACAGTCACATGATCACACATTTGAAAGTGCTCTGCCAGTCTCAGATATATTGTGCCATCTTGAGCATGTTGTTTTTAGACTCTTGGATTTTACACGGCTATGTGGAATCACGTTGTCATGGAGAGAAAAGTGTCGTCTTACCAAAGATATATTTTTACTCCATGTTGTTGCTCAGTCTGCCTACCCACAACAGGCCTGGGGGGGGGACAGGAGCAAAGTCAGGGAAATGCGTGCGTCATTACAACTGTTTGTGTGGATGACACATAGAGAGGCATGTATGCTCAAGGGAAGCATTCAATTACATTATGATTCAATGACACACTATGCAACAGGGATGCTTGTTTGGTGGTCTAACTTCTGAGGTGACAGACTGTGAATCATAAGTTTGTAATCAGTATTTTGCTTGTGATATTATGGAATTTATGTAATACATTTTTATACGTGTAGTATTTTTGTGTAACACTGAAAGCTGAACATTGTGGGTTTATTGCATTTGATTGAATCTCAGTTTGAGTCGTTGGACACGCGCTACATGTTGCACAATGGACGTGTCTTTGTGCGTCATGATCAGACACTCAAAACCTCACATATCATGTCACATATCATGAACTGAGTCACTTGCAATTTCAGACTCACTGCCATTAATATATATCTTTGCTGCTTGTTATGCTGTCTGTCATTAGCAACAAATTGTTCAAGATATGTAAGTTTTTATTGCACACTGTTGCTTTGTCAAGTAATTTAATATCTCATTAGATCACAAAACACTATAGTTTGGAATTAAGTTGTTGCTTGTTTCCGTGTATTTATGGTCTTCAAAAGAACATATGGTTTTTCTACCAGCACACATAACACATATGCAACCACTAGAGTAAGCGCCACATTGCCAAGAAACAGGTACATCTGTAAAAGAAAAGACCCACTGATTCAAGTTGACCAATCACCTGAAAGAAGCAATACTGATGTCAGAATTAGTTATTAATTCACTTACAAAATTAATGTCTGAGTAGTGGATTGGTGTTTCCTGTAAGCCAATATAAATGATGATGAGGAGTGGATGCGTCAGGTAGCATGCAAAGCTAATATTGGAAAATGGCATCCAAAACCGTGATGATAGTAAAGTATTTACAACACCTTGAAGAGAAACAGGGAATAATAAGGTTTATCTTTAAAGGGTGTTTTTGTTTTTTTGGTCATTTCATTTCTTATTACCTTCAGAATGTTTAAATGTCACATGAGCAGTACCTCTACTCACCTCCATAGCCCCCCTCACATGCCAGTATAATCCAGGTGATAGCCAATGCCCACAAAGGCCTGTGCAGTCCTTGGTAAAGAGCATGTGGTACAGAAGGGTGAGAAGGGGCCTCTCTCAGGATGTATGAGAGTCCAACCAACAGGGCCAAGCCACTAAAACAGCATAGCCAGCCAACTACTGCTTTCCACTGAAATATTTTCAGCATACATAGTCATGCATGTTATTGTTTTTTAAATTATTTTATTTTGCAGCCAACTGCAATCCGAAAATATACACACCTTTTGATTAAGAAATGAACCTTTTTTAGTAGTCAGAAAGATTCCTGCCACAATTCCTATCAAAAACGGACCATATCTTGTGTATGGCCTTAAATAATAAAATACGTATTTTTCAGATGTCCTGAAAGCAAGACAAAATATTCAAATAAAAATATTAATTTGTAAATACTTTCTTTACTTACATTATTGTTGTGTGAAAAACTGGAAGATGCCAGAGTGCAGTTATTACTGAACTTGTCACAGTTGTCAACAACAGGAGCCCACCTGCCACTATTCCGAACACACTTTTGTTTCTGATGAACAAAATATTGTTGGATTAAAATCTTATCTTATTTAAAACAAAGTTTCTAATCTTATTAACTTACAGTCTATAAAGGAAGACCAATAGAGGAGTGGTTGTATAGCACTGAAAGTCCAGGGACAGGTACCATGTCCAAGGAGCACACTGCAGAGGACACACTCAAATGTACAGCTGTGTGTGCTTATAATAGTGTAGTATAATAAGTTTAGAATATGTATCTTACACTTACAATTTCATGATCAGGCAAAAGGTTGCTGATCAGTAGTAAGTTAGCCCACCAGTATGACTTACAGTCCATTATTGTGTTTACAAATGGAAACCAGTAAGGTCCCCAATGAATCACTGACATAAGGCCAATAGTAACACATGTTATAAATATATGCAGAGGCTGAATCCTAGGAGCAGAGATACACGTGTTGTGACATTTTTTCTTTAAAATATTAGCGATAAAAGTATAGTGTGGTGAACCTTTTGATTCTGCTGAAGAGGTAGTGGGTCACAACACTGACACTTAGTGTGTCATCAGCCCTTTGGATGGAGCTCAGCAAAGACCTGGCACTTAGTAGACCTCTGCAACAGGAAAATGTTATAATAATATTTGTCTATATGTTTCTGTAATATGTCTAAGTGATATGTTTAATCAAGTATTTTCATTCTCACCCTAACAACAGAAATGTGTCCACTGCCAGAAAGACAGGTCCACTGAGACTAAACACATACAAGGGACTGCTTTCAAAAGCTTTCTTCCAATTCTTATAATTATCTGTAAGAAAAAGCGGGAAAAGTTGTATATTAAAGCATGGGGGTTTACTTCTAAAGTTGACAGGGCTGTGTCTCTAACCAATGCTGGCAATTATAGGGTACTGTGCAGAGTGGCCACACATAATCCACAGCAGGCTAAGAACACGGATGCCATGTAGAGATGGATAGCCTCTCCCTGTGATAGAGGAGGAAGTGCTCAACACGCCCTGGGCAGTTGTCTGTAGGGAAAAGGTCTCTATGCAAAGGGACCCACTTAGCAGAGGAAATGTGTCTGTGGAAGACAATATCATATCATTTTCAGATAAGCATTTTTAAAATGTGATGACTTACGGAGCAAAAAGGTTTATATGTATATTTTGACTTTACTCATGTTCTCACTGTTGTTGAATGTGCTGCTGCCCTTGTTCTCTTGGAGTGCAGTTATAGAGTGTTTGTGTTCCTTACCACTGGAACTGT